TATAGTATTGTGCTAGAGTATAGGAACAGCATGGTAAACAAACAAACAAACAAACAAAAAACCTGACCCGGTCTGTGTCAGTAAAATGCCTACAAACTGGTAGGGGAGACTGACTGTAACAAGTAGCTGTACAAATAAATAATAAATGATATACATGAAAGGTGCTTAGACCTGAGTGCCATGTAGGGAACAGGAGGCCATCCGCTTGTGCCATCACATTCGTCAGAAAGTCCCCCTACTTGGGCATAACACAGGTTTTGTCTCTCCTGGATAGGCACAATATGGATCCTCTGGAACTGTAACAGAATGTATGGGTGAGCAGCCTGGACAGGACCATTTTCAAACATCCAGCATCCAAGGGGCGAGAAGAGCTAAGCAGGAAGAGCACATTTGAGCCATTGTGCAGAGTCTCCCCCACCCCACCGTTATTGCTCGTGTCTGCTTAATAACGGGATGTCACCTGGACTGTTCACCTTTAACCTGGAAGCCCAGACATGCTTCCTCTATTTCATTATCCAGTGACCTCTCCCATCAGCAGCCTGTGGCTGTGAATTCTTTATCCCTGTGAACGTGGCTGCCATGTGTGATTCTGACGGAAGACGGCAAGAAGCCCTGGGCTGGGGCAGCAGGTGCAAGCTTCCAGGGAGCACGGTAGGTTTACATTTAATATTGTTGGGAAAGGTTTTATTTCATTTTTGCCCCGGAGGAGTTTGCAAAGAGTGAACATTTGGATTTGTCTGTGAGGGAGGAAACTCACGATGACTTTCCACCTTTGCCTCGTCCGGAATTGCAGAACAGACTTAAGGGGGAATCAAGCCTGAGACATCAGTGAGGGCACAGGCACCCCCACCGAGCATTGTAGCCTCTAGACCTGCCAGGGGCTAACTCTGGGGTTTTGTGGTATGGTTTGTTAGAATGTTCTTTTCTTTCTTTCTTTCTCTCTCAATATTTTATTGAAGAGAAATTTATCCTTACTGAGCAGGCATTTCCGTTCCCTTGAGTTGGGTTTGTAGCGCTGAGAGGGTCGTCATTAGAGCCACTTATTGGAATAGACGTCTTCAAACCCTTCCTCATCACAGACTGTAGCCCTTCGAGCTTTGCGTGTTCTCAGCACATCTGCAGCACCAGAGCATGGCCTTGTTCTTCTGAGCTGTCTGCTAAAAAGACCAAACTCAAAGATGATGATTTTTGTCTCTCCCCGAACAAGGAGTCTCAGAAAGACTGTTGGCACTGACAAGCGAGGCAGACATTTACATTTGCAGAAATTTAATTTACGGAACTTAGGGATTCTTTAAACCTGGATACAAAACCCATCAAATAAATTTCTGCACACGTAACTCAAGCCTGTGTTGGCATCAATAATCAATCACTGCGTTTCTTCCTGCTGAGCCTGGATGAGGCCTCGGCCTCATTCTTAACACCATATTTCTGGTGGCTACTCTCAGGAAACAAAATATAAGCTTAAACAGATTTACCATTTCTGTTTTTTTTTTTTAAGTTTATTTATTAGAGAGAGAGGGTGAGAGAGTGCCTGTGGGTGGGGGAGGGGCAGAGAGGAGAGAGAGAATCCCAAGCAGGTTCCACGCTGTCAGCACAGAGCCTGACGAGGGGCACAAACCTACAAACCGTGAGATCATGACCTGAGCAGAGATCAAGAGTCAGAGACTTCATGACCTGAGCCGCCCAGGCGCCCCCTAGCTTAACCATTTCTGATTTAAGTAACTACTTTTGAGTAGACAGCATACTTTGAATAAAATGATAATAAATGAGTATTTATTATGTGCCAGAGATTGTCCTAGGTATCTAACTACTTTTGAGTAGACAGCATACTTTGAATAAAATGATAATAAATGAGTATTTATTATGTGCCAGAGATTGTCCTAGGTATCTAACGTGAACTCATTTGTTTGATACAAACCACATGAGTCCAGACTTGCTTTGGATTGTAGTTGCATTACCAGTGTTTCAGAAGAGTCTCAGGTAGGGGCGCCTGGGTGGCGCAGTCGGTTAGGCCTCCGACTTCAGCCAGGTCACGATCTCGCGGTCCGTGAGTTCGAGCCCCGCGTCAGGCTCTGGGCTGATGGCTCAGAGCCTGGAGCCTGTTTCTGATTCTGTGTCTCCCTCTCTCTCTGCCCCTCGCCCGTTCATGCTCTGTCTCTCTCTGTCCCAAAAATAAATAAACGTTGAAAAAAAATTTAAAAAAAAAAAGAAGAGTCTCAGGTATGCAGTGCGTGCTTAGTGAATCCTTGTTATTGAAATGAATTCTAAAAAACCTATTATTATTCTCATATGGCAGACCAGGAAACCGAGGCCCAGAGAGCTTTAGTAAGTTTCCTACACGATTCAGGACTGAAGCCGTGACTTGACACTGCTTTAGTATTTTGTTCATATTTTTAACCACATTACCCTACTGCTTCTCACGAATAATGTTTGGCATCTCTGTTCTTCTTTGTTAATGTCCAATAAGGTGGTTATTCAGCCTTGTTGCTTCTCTTTATTATTCTTGATCCTATCCTTTTTGATATTTTAGAGAGCTATTTGTCTCTGCAACAACAACAAAAAAAGCGAAGAGCAGGAGTTGACATCCAGATGCTGGTGGGGTTTCGACAGAAGACACAAGTGAGGGAGGCCAGGTGGGGATCACAGTCGGTGGGGGGTACATGCCCTCGGGGCAGCTGCTACTCAGCTCCGGCAATTGCAGCTGTAGGGAATCCAAGCCCACATTGCCAAATCTTCTTTCGGTAGATGTAGGAAATCTGAACCCTGCCTGTGAAAACGCCAAACGAAAATATCAGTCTGAAAAATCCCGTATGTAAAATGTTGGCAAGCAAGTCAATTAAAAAAAAAAAAAAAAAAAACAGAAATAAACAAAGCACGGCGAGTCCAATAAAATATCTCTGTGGGCTCCATCTAGCCAGGGGTCTGTAGTTCGCAGCCTGTGGGAGACACAGCAGTAGCAGTGGCTTTGGGTAACTGATCCTGCAGTTCTGGCTAAAACAAACAAGCAAACTATGACAAGTAGTTGTAACTACTTGTTAGGATTTCAGCATAGGTGTCTGGGGGAAATAGAACAGCAATAATGATAGTAGCTCAATACGTCCGCATAGTGCTTCATATTTTTCAGCTCGGGTCTATAGATGCATTGGGATCTCCTCGAAAATCATTTTGACGGTTCAATTACCTGGTCGGTATTAAGCAGTCGGATTCAGGATCAGACCCTGATCTCCAATTCTCAAGCCGGTTTTCCTATAGCAACACACACCCTGAGGGGGACCACCGAGTCCAACATTCCCAGCTCATCACAGGCCTCAGTTTGTACATCTCGTATGTCATCAAGAGGTAAAAAACAAAAACAAAAACAAAAACAAAAAACACTTATCCAGAGCTCATGCCCAATTTCTGATGAATGTTTAGAGAGGAGAGAAACAGGACGATCATTTGAGGATACTTGAATGATTGCTCAAGCACGTTATTCTTGGCAGATCGAGGTTGTTCATTTCCATGTGGTCCTCCCCAGATCATCTCTAATTACAAAAATACGCGCCTAGCAAAGGCTGGATAAATAATGTAATTGTGGCCTAATCATTGTGTACATTCCTAAACACTCTGCTAATGATGAGTGGGTTTGGGGTTTTGTTCTTCCAAGTGTAGCTGACTGCCAGCCAGAGCTGAAATGCGGCATGTTCCTCACGCTCCACAGAAACCATTTTAAATTAAGCAGATTTGAAAATCTTCCCGTGGAGGGAGATGTTTCTGATTGCTAGGTTTGTGTGGGCCTCTCGAATGCCAGTTCTATGCAGGAAGGGCTGTTGGCATTTGATGCCTTTCTGCCGTGTTTTGTATTTGACAGCTGTTCTGGGGTGTCTTTTCCCAGCCACCGGCCTGGCTACTGTCATAAAGCCAATCGGAGTCGCAGGCAATTAATGTTATTTTCCTCAAGTGCTCCCGGAAACGCTTATGTCACGTGGCGCTTCATGAAATCTGTGACCTTTTGGAAACAGAGGCACAAGAAAGCAAACAAGCTTGGCTGTGCATGTACCGTGTTCCATTAAGTTACGAAGGATATGAAAACAGATTGTACTTGCTGCGTGCAGACATGTCTGTGGAGCAGTTTATGTGTCGGGATTCTTAGAAATGAAGATATGTGCCCTCACCGAAACCCAGATATCCCATAAAAGGGTGGTAGGTATATTGAACAGCAGTGCATTAACACGTGTGCCGCAAAGTATTAGAAAATTTCTGAATCATAACGCATTCAGAATGGGGCTCTGTAACTAGTACTTTACCCTAGTGCCACATTTTAGGAAGGATATTAACAAACTAAAAAACGAAAGGAGAAACCCTGAAATTTTAGGAAGGGTTGGGCTGTTTGGTCTAGAAACAGAAGATGGTAAGAACGGGATGGTAAGGGGGGGGGTGGTAATTATCCTCCGGTAGGTACGGTGAACTCTCCAGGAGAAAGCCCCATCTTTTCCCTGGGTTTTCTGGAGGGATTCCTCAGTTAAGAAGACCTAGAGCATAATAAATAAATACTTACTAACATTTTTTTGAATGAGTTTAAAAAAAAAATGAATGGGACCCGTGCAACAAGATCTTCCTAAAGCGATGAGTACATTACAGAAGCTTTTATGTGCGATGGGTTGCTTTATGAGCTGTGCTCCCTGTTATCTGCTTAAGCCACGGCTGGAAACTGGTGGCCGGTGAAGCATCACTTACTTTGGGATGGATGCTGTTTGCCCATTCAGTGTTTTCTTTAAGTTTGATGTTTAAAAAGAATAATAATTGAAATGATGGTGCGCTCTCGCTCTTGCCCTCTCCCTTTCTCTCCTACACACACACACACACACACACACACACACACACACACACACACTACTCTCCATCCTGCATTTAACAGTCAAACCGAGATCGGAAGCTGCTGCTCCCCTTCAATGAGGCATGTGTTTCTGGTTCTCCTGTTGTTTTAGGCTGGGCGCTGAAGCAGGTACCTGAAGGTAGCTGAGCGTGCCACCCTTGGCTTAAGCAGAGGCGGGAGCTAACCACCTGTAATGGGTATGGTAGAGGGGGTTCCTCTATTGAGGAGGAGGATAGGCCAGACTGCAACTCTTGAGAGAGGCCTTGATGCAGTGATGAGCAACCATACCTCGTTCATCAGAGTGAAAACAGCACTTGTTTGGTTTCAGCCAACCCATGAGCAATTTCTTTGAACCCAGCCAGTCTGTCAGAAGGAGCACTGTCTCAGCCACAGAATTCCTGGGCCTGTGTGGTACAGAGGCATCCTCGGGATTCCATCTCACACGGGCCAAGGTGATTAGCTAACCTACGTCTTCATTCCATTTTTGTCCCTCCCCTTTCTCGCTTACGTTGGGTTCTGTCTAGCTGCATGTGTGCATGTGCGTGCGTGCCCTCAGCCACCCGCCCAGCCACCCCCCCCACACACACACCCCTCCACCCCCCCACACCCCTCCAACCCCCCCCCCCACACACCCCTCCAGGGTCAAACAACAGAGTTGTAGGGAGTGGGGGTGGGGGAACTCAAGAAAATGAGTTGTGTCACCAATTAGTGACATCGGTATCACCGAGAGCCAGAATCGAGCAGTGAGCTGGGGGCAAGGGCTTGTCTGAATTCGAAGGTTGCCATGGTTGTGCTAAATGCTAATCACTTTTCATCACACTGACTAATGGGTGTGCAATTTTTGGCTCAAGTCCTTTGCAGCTATTCCAGGCTGGCTCCTGCGAGAGCTTCAGAGTTCCGGCTCCAGCTGTGCCCCTGCCTCTCCGCTCCCTTCAAAGAACATGAATTATTCTTAGATGCAGTCCCCTGA